ATTTGGCTTCCACTACGGAAGCAACAGCCTCTGTGATGTATTTGCTTAAATTTAGGCCACTCAAATAATGAGACAAGGAGTCTGTGTCATAGTTTTTAGTTTCTTGACAAAAGCAGTTTTCTTCAAATTCAAGTCCAGATGGCTAAAGAAATTTTCCTCTGGTCGACTGTCTGGAGCATTTTGGTTTTGTTATGAAGCTCTCTTAATGAATGTCATTCCTATGCTTCTGGATGAAGCCAGAGATTTTTCTTTCACTTTCAACTGAACGGCTTTCTGTTGCTGACATTTTACCTGCTTTTCTTGCTTTTATCTCTCTTCTCCATGTTTCTCCTCTTGTTGTTCTTCCTCTTCTTTTCCTCCCTCTTTGCTCCTTTCTTTCTTCCTGTAATTTTTTTTTTTTTTTTTTGTCTTATTTTCCTTTTTCCTCTTATCTTCCTTCCAGTTTCTTCTTTTTGTCCTCAGGGACCTTACTGACCTCTTTCTTGGCAGTGATCCTGAGATCATCTTAGGGTTTTTCCTTGCTGCTCACTGGCTACTTTCACTGCAGTCTTTCTCTGTGTGGTTTAGCAAAGATTACTTTTCTTCCATATTTGCTGACTTTCTACACTCAGCTGGCATCATGTGACCCAGAACACTCTCCAGCCTGCTGTCATTAGCCCTGGGTTTCCAACACCAACTCCAGTGCTCCGACTTTCCTCTCCCCTCTTCTCTCTTAGCTCTTGGAGGGTTTTTTATAAGTGCAAACAGCCGAAGAATACTTTTAAGAAACTGCCAGGAGTTAAGTACATGAGGGCACAAAGATTCCCCAACTTGTCTACTGAGTTAGAGCCACAAAGCTTTGAGTCACACAAACCTGCCTCTTCCTGGTCCCAGCCACAGTCACTGAACCCACAGACACCACCCCGTCCTTCCCCCATGAACTTACTCACAGCCATTGATGATTTGGGCCCCTCTGTTTCTGCCTACACTGCTGCTAAATTGCTCTAGTTTCTACCTCTGAAGACTCTAGAAGTAGCTCACCAAAGTACAAGTTAGGGCTGTTGCTCCAGGAGTTAGAGATTGCCCATGTTCCACCTCATTCCTCTGTGGGACCAGTGAAATTCAAACTCAGAGACTCAGAGAGTAGCACGGTGCTTTCCAGAAGCTTGGGGGGTGGGCGGAGGGGATGGGGTGATGTTGCTCCAATGATACAAAATTTCAGCTAATCATCAGGAAAAAGAGACCTCTTGAACATCATGGTGACCAAAGATAATAACGATGCATTCTTAAAAATTGAGGAGAGTAGATTCTAAGGGTTTTAACCACACAAATGATAAGCATGTGAGGTAATATGTATGTTAATTAGCTTATTTAGTCATTCCGTGATATATACATATTTAAAAACATAATGTTGTACACAATAAGTACACACAATTTTTATTTATTTAATTAATATTTTTTAAAAGAATTGCAATGTTTCCTCTTGGCTGTGGGATAAAAGCTCAAGGCTACACAAAGCCATTATCAATGTGGCCAACAGCATGAACAGGCTCAGCTGGGACCACCCCTCTCCACACGTATCCCAGGCATTTCGCATCCTGTTCCTCGTTGCTCTCTTCCTCCTGCCAGCATCAGCGCTGTGAGTACACGGCGACTGCCACCCTCGCTTCAAAGCCAGCCCACAGGTCACTTCCCTGAACTTCTCCAGAATTTGCCTCTGCCTCTTTAGGCTCCCTTAGAAATTACTTCCATCCTTTATAGAATTCTTGGCACTCGGAATTGTCACTGTTTGAAGAATTTCCTTGGCTAGGTAGTGACTCCCAGAGGAGACACAGTTCCAGTCTTGTTTGTGTTGCATGTATTACAGGATTACAAAATATGGAGCTGACCTGTTGAACATAGCACCCCTAACTCAAGGAGTCACCTCCAGTTTTCCTCCTGCCCATTAAAGCCATCAGCAATATTGATCAAAAGAATAGACCCCACCCCCCGCAATCCTGAGGATGAAACCTAGTTGTTCGCACTGAGCTACATCCCCAGCCCTTTCTATTTCTTGATGCTAGTATCTCCCTAACTCATGAAGTTGCCCAAGCCAGGCTTAAACTTGCAGTCCTCCTGCCTCAGTCTCACAGAGTGCTTGGATTACAGGCATGCATCTGTGTTTTATTTCATCAAAGGCACTGGTGACCACCAGTGTTATTAGAAGCAGTGGTCAGAGATCTGCCCTGATTGGGTTCTAGGACACACAGTCTCCTGGTGCCTCCCCCCACATGCACACATTGGGCCTTCTTCTCAGACTTCTTTGCTACTTCTTCCTCATCCCCTGTCCTCTGAATGGCAGAGCCTTAGAGCTTGGTCCTAGACTGTCTCCTCTCTTCTCTCTGCACTAGTTCTCTTGGTTATCTCACCCAGATAAACACAGAGTACTGTCTCTGTGTTGAATGTTGCCAAATTTATAAGTCTTGCCTGTTCTCTTCTCTCAAACCTAAGGCAGGAGCCAACTGTGTACTGCACACCCCTTTCTGCCTCTGCAACCTGTTAAACAGATTGCTGACCCAACCCTATCCAACACCTTCTCTCCAGCCATTCTCTCCATCTCAGGAATCACAACTCCAGCCTCTGGTGTGCTCACCCTAAACTCTTCAGCTGGCTTTCAGCTGAGTCCCACCCCAACCCAGTTGCTCACCCTTCCACACAGATGCTGCATCTCATCACTTGTCATTACACTGGCCAGTCTCACCTGGGCTGTTTCACTAGGCTCCTAACTGATCTTCCCCCTGGCCCTTGTTTCCTGACGGTCAGTTCTCTATGCAGCAGCCCAATTGACTCCGGGAAACCTAAGCCAGGTCATGTCACTCCTTGATACACAACTATCTGATAGCTTCCATCTTACTTACAATGGGCCCCTGTGTTCTGACCCATCTGCTCTCTGGCACTATCTGCTACTCCTGTGTCCTCCCTCCTGACCTGGCTTCAGCCATGTGGCCCTCCACACAGGTCAGGCACACTCCTCGGCCTGACCACTGCACGCATTGCCCCTCAGCCTGGCATGGCTCATTCCTCCACTTCCTTTGAGTTTTTTCAAGTGTGTTCTTCACCGAACCACCTGTTATTGTATAAGGAGTGATCAAAACACACAGTGAATGTTTAAATAAAAAACTATATTACACTGCAGGACACACTGCCAGTAATTCCCTCAAAGTACCCGCCTTCCCTCAAAGTACCCGCCTTCCTTCAAACACACTTATCCCATCCACCTTGCCATTTTCTGAAACACTTCTGGAAGTTTCCTCTCTGTCTTTATGATGTGTGATTAAAAAAAGTACGAGGAATACTGCTGCTGAGTGCCATCTGATGGAAAGGCAGGTTCATGAAAACATGACAGATTGTCCTTACCACCTTATTTACTAGATCTGGTGCCATACAAGTTCTGGGTCTTCCCCAAAGTCAAAATGACATGAAAAGTAAATGTTCTGAATGGATTTAGGACATCCAGGCAGCCACAGCAGTGCAACTAAAGACTTTCACAAAAGAGGACTTCCAGGGCTGTATCAGAAAGAGGCAAGAGCGATGGGCTGAGTGTGTTCAAAGCGAGAGGGAGGATTTTGAGGGGGATTAATAGTGATGCGTCTTTTACTGTCATACAAATTTTAAAAATGTAAACATTCACTGTATTGTTCAATCAACCTCGTATTTTAATTTACTCTAAACTTCTTCAGTACAACCTGCAGGACATCACACACACATCAGTTCCTTTAAAGTTTAACTCTAGAGATGTGTCAGCCAAAGCACAATGAAGAATGCACATTTCAGCATTCTACCAAAGAGCCACACTCCAGAGGCCACAGCTCTGAATTTCTGTTATTCACATCTTAAGCAACTACCAGCACTTTGTTAACTGACAAACTAAATTAAAAAATAACTATAACAGTGAAACCAGCAACATGTTAAGTAACACGGTGAGGCTTAAAACTCAACTCTTAGGTGAAGTTAAAATTATTTTTGTGGCCTGGCTGAAATAATTGGCTACGTAACTTAGGGATACTTTGCACCTTTATAAACATAGGGTATAAGAATCCAGCAAGATTTGTAACTTCTACTTACCAGGAGAAACTTGCCCCCAACGTGTTCTGTGTCCAGCTGTTGGGGATCTGAGGTTACATAATCCCAAAAGAGGGCAGAACCTCAGAAGTGTAGCAAGATCGATGAGGCCTGGCCCTGGTTTCAAGCCTGCTTTTACTAATGGTTATCTGGTTAATGACCACCACCATTAGCAGAATCCAGCTTGAGATGACATGATGAGGGAGTGACTCACTACTCATCTACCTCAAATTTCTCAGAAGCTACTGTTATTTATAACAAAACAAAACAAAACAACCCTACCAAACCTTTCCATCCACCAATAGTCCCAGTTTTGGGGAGGCTGAGGCAGGAGGATCCCAAATTTCAGCCCAACCTGGACAATTTAACAGCTTAGTGAGACCTTATCTCAAAACAGGATGGGATGTAGTTCAGTGTGAAGTCTCTGAGTTTGAGCCTGATAACAAATAAATCCAAAGAAATCTCAGAATCATGCATATTCAACATGCTCAGGTCAAGTTTATAAGACCTTCCTATTCTCAAGTTTAAACATCTTCCCATGGTTCCTAGGCTTCTGTTTATTTTTCTCAATAACTTATCAATATCTGACATATTATATGTATGTTTTTAATTATGTGTATAACCTTTTTGGGTTATTTCTATCCACAGATGACTCAATCTCCATGAGGTTGGCAATTTTTGTTTCTCTCTATATATATTTGTATTCGTTTTGTTCACTGCTATAGCCCATTATAAATAGTAGTGCCTAGTAAAATAGCAATGCCTGTATTTTATTTATTTACTTATTCTTTGGAACAGTGTCTCACTCTGCAGTTCAGGCTGTCCTTGAACTTATGGTGTAGCCCAGGCTGGCCTCAAATTCACAGTGATCCTCCTGCCTCAGGCTTCCCAGTGCTGGGATTACAGGTGTGCACCACCATGCTCAGTGACATTTGTTAAATTAATGAGTAAAAGAAAATGAGACAGTGCTTCGCGAAAACAGACGATGCTAAAGGAGTTCCAAAGAAAACATTCAATTTTGGCCAGAACATTAAGAAAACAGAAGATGACTGTGTCATGGAATAAAGATAAGCAGTGTAGTTTGAATTTATAGATGTAAATGTATTGCAAGCCTGGCAAGCAGCATCATGGCTATAAGAAAGGTCAACGAGTCTCTCTAAATAGAAAGTGAAAGGATCAGATAAGACGTGAAAAAAAAGTTTTGTTCAAATTTCCAACTGATTCAAAAGTGCAGTCCGAGACTTTCTTGAGGTGGGTTTTGGTTCTGGTTTGCATCATTGAGGTGTGGGGCAATGAAACAGAGCTGGGACTTGCATAAGTCTGCGGCAGGAGTGGGCTGGGAGTAACACAAAGGGTGAATTCGTACATGTGTGTGTGAAGTTTGGCAAGATTTTCTGAACTACCCAAGAAACCTGGAGAAGGGCATACGGGCCAGAGAGAGTGGCGTGAGCCACAGTGCTCAGCAAAGAAAGTACATGTCCAAGAAGAAACACAGCTTCCGGGAATGGAACAAACAGTGATTCCTGACTGGGAGGCGGGTGTAGGAGATGTTAGGAAATGGGGTGGAGGTCACACTGTAGACCTATGAATGTGGTAGGCCAGAGAGAGCCATGAAACATTTGTAACAGGAAAACAATCAGAATTGGGTGACTGAGGACAAAGGCACTGGCCGAGAGACTGGTAAGACATTCTGGGTGACTAGAAGTAAAAATCCTAGGCCTAGAGCCAGTGAGACAGGAAGACACACTCCCAGGGAGACGGTCGAAGAAGAGAGCAGGAGAGTTGAACATGGCTCTAGGAGAGGTCATGGGCAGCCTGAAGTCCACTGACACGTTAGCTTCCCCACGCTGACCCTCCCTCAGGGCTCAGCCAGGAAGTAAGCCAGACTGCACAGTCACAAGGTGGTGGTCTGCAGGGATTGACTTGCCACTGGGTGGGAATGGAGGGCAGGAGGCCAAGAGATACAAATCCCAGTGGTTAATAGACAGTGTGGCCAGCTCCGACGTGTCCCCAGCTGACGCGATGGGTCACTACTGAGGCTGACCACCTGAGGGGCTGATGAGACGGAGAAGACCCCTCCCACCCAGGAAGTGAGAGTCCAGTGTGTGGCATCTAGTGACCGCCCCAACCTCAAGAACATCCTGACCACCGACCAAGCCAAGGAAATGAGACTTAGGCAGTGAGAACCCAAGCTTGGGAAGCACTGGGAGTAGAAACTAAAAAATGGTGGTGAAAGCCAGCCTGGGCTCCAGGAAGATGAGGCTGCTAAACCAACCACAGGGCCTCTCAGCTTGTGGGCAGGGGTTCCAGGCATGTGGCCAGGCTTGGCTGGGGGCCAGGAGCAGAGGAGGCTTAGTGTCTCCACAGATAATGTGGAGGAGGCTGGAAAGCCCAGGTCCAGTCCAACTGGACCTTCCCTAGCCCCTCAGTGAATCCTCAAGCACTTAGGCTAAGGATTGAGCAATGCTTCTATAACCTGTTGAACCTGTTGATTTCCTTTTATACTGGGAAGGAAGAGGTACTTCTGAGGGCACAGTAGCCAAAAAACTGTTACCTAGCTGTCCTTGCTATGCAAAGCAGACTCACTTCTCTGTCGCTCTTCCCCTTTTGGCACCTTCTGGAGAGAAGGGAACCAGCAATGGGAAAGGCAAAACAGGGAGACAGGACAGACTCTGGCCATTGACAGACCTATTTGCTCTCATGCAGGGACAATGGTAAGTGTGATGTCAGCTGTCTTTTGCATGGCTGCCTTCATCTCCTGCCACTAGAGCCCACAAACACAAGGGAACCAGGTGAGCCATGGAGAGATGTGGGGGTGGCCTTGGCCAGCACTGGATCCAGAGGCTCTGCGACACTCCTGGAGTTTAAGAAAGTCCTTCCCCCTCTTCAATTATGTCCTCCACACACTGTGTATTACAGCAAGGAGAGGGCAGCTCTCCCATCTGACCTGGCACTCTCTCCTTCTCCCAGACTCTCCTCAACTGCTCTCAGCAATTGCTTCAGACTTGACAAAGGAACAGCTCATCACCCCAGCCTGGGAAACTGCTGACCCCTGGAATCTGACAACCAGTGCAAGTGGCAGTGGCCTGGGCCCCAATCCAAGGCTAGAGCATTCCTATTTCAGTTTGAAGCCACTCTGACATCTTCGCCAAACCTCCACTCCTCTTCGTCTTAGGGCAAGTTGAAAGGTGGAGGCTCCCAGCATGGAGATCAGCTAGGGAAAGAGCTGCTGTGAAGCCACCTCGGCTGTTCTTGTGGGAACCTGGAAGAGATGTGGGACAAGGAGGCCAAGGCCTTATCTGGAGAGTCAGAGTTGGAGTGAGGTGGGCACAAGCAGGTGACTCGGGAAACACTGCTCACCTTCCCAGAAGTAAATGTATCTGTCTCATCTCTGGATGGCATGTCCTTAGGGACCCCAGAGAGGTTGCTGCACATTCTTGAGCCCAGAGTCCAGCTAGGAGAACTACAACAGGAACCATGCCAGGCTCTTTCACGCCATCTCAGTGAATCTTTGGGCTTCCCCTCAGGTGGCATAACTGTCCATATTTCACTGCAAAGGAAATTAGAGCTCAGAGGAATTAAGCAACTGATCTATGGTCACATCACTAGAAAGAGCAGAGCTGGGGTCCCAAGTCAGCTTTAGCTGCCTCTCACCTTCTGGTGAGAGTAGAAGGAAGACCAATGCTGAGGAATTCAGGCTTCTTTCTGGGGAAATAATAACAATTATATCTTCTTAGGACACATGTGGTCTTTCCATTGGACGATATTCAAAAGTAGCACTCACTTTACTTTTACCACACCTTGTAAAGACCCTTCTGAAGGACTTTCAGAATTGCTCCAGAGAGTAGAAGAAATGATGGGACAAGTGTGTTTGAAGAGGGAGAATATTTTGAGAGGGATTAATGGCAATGTGTCTGCTAATGTAATAATTTTTTAAAAATTATTTTTAAACGATTCCTATGTGGAAGTCCTAACTCCATTAACTCAGGAGGCGATATATTTGGAGACAGGGTGTGCTATGGTTTGGGTCTGGATGTCCCTCCAAAGCCTCCTGTGGTCATAGGCTTGATCTAGAGTGTACAAAGCCAGAATTGATTCGTGATGCAATGCTATGCTCAAGGGCACTGGGGTTAAGTGTGTGAGTGTCACCCGCCCTAAGTAGCCTGAATAAGATAAAAGGGTCAGGTATGCCCTTTTAAATCTTCTTTTTGCCTTTGGTACTGTGTGGGCACCATGTTGCTTCTCCTCTGCAATGCCTGTTTGTCACTCCTGCCTTGGAGCCAGACAATTATGGACTAAAACCTCTACAAACTGTAAGTCAACTAAACCCCTTCCCTTTAACTTTGGGTGTTGGGTATTTTGTCTCAGCAATGAGAGAAAAGTAACTGCTGCAGATCTTTAAAGTGGTAATTTAAGTCAAAATGACATCATTAGGGTGGGTTTTAAGCCAGTACAACTAATATCCTTACCAGGTCACAGACACAGAGAGAAGACCATATGCAGACACGGAGAGGAAGGCGACTTAGCAGCCAAGAAGGGAGTTCTCACAAGATACCAATCCTTCTGCCACCTTGACCTTGGACTTCTGGCTTCCAGACCTGTGTGAAAACAAACTCCTATTGTTTAAGCCACCCAGTCAGGGGTAATTTGTGATAACAACCCAAATACACTAATTCAAATTTCCACTTTGCTAAGTGTTATTTTCCAGACACTGGTAAAGTAACATGGAGTTAAATTCAGACTAGAATTCCACTCAAGAGATAGATAGGGAGATTGAGGTATTATAGATATCCCCCAAACCCTTTACTAATATTATCCTTCTTATAAATCTCAGCATGTGGTATATGCCTGCCAACTCTTTATCCATTGTAATTCTCCGGACAATTCCTACCCTCAGCCTCCTCTCAAAATAAGACTCACAGGAAAAAGACAGAAGGCAGGGGGTTAAACTGACACTGACTTTTCATGTCTGTAGGACTAGCTGACCTGGAGGGCACTGGCCGGTGGGAGGGACCCCAGGAACCTCTTCCTGTGTCCTAACCTGGGCGACTGCATTATCACAGTAAAATGTACCGTGTCCACACTGGGGTCCTCCCAGATCAGGTATCACCTGGTGGTTGTTGGACCTTCCACAGTGATGCCAGGCCAAAGATCTTTGACAAGGGAGAAACCCAGACTGGAGGAGGAAAAAAAAAAGTGGCCCCTGAATTTTGCAAGTATTTAATTTGAGTACATCCTGTCATGAGTGAAGGAGTTAACGCCCACAGAAAGGGTGAAGAAGAAAAGTCCCTTTGAGTTGCATAGAGTGGGGGAGGAAATGCAAGGCTTCACCGTCACGGCAATCAACCCAGGGATAGAGGGGGGG